CCCCAGCTCCCTCTGCTGCTGCCAAGTCCCTCCCCCTGCTATAGCGCTGCACCACACTCCTCCTGCCCCTCCTGCACTCTGTAGATGGCCGGCCGTGCTTTGGGATTCTTCCCTCCTCTACTGTCCATCTCCTCTCCGCCGCTTTTTTTCTCTCCCTGGATGTTTGCGGCGCCCATGAGGTTTGTCAGCTGTCCCTTGTGGCTGGAACTGCAGGTAGAGTTTCAGATTTGAATGTGAAGCTTTTGCATTGAACATTTGAACATATGGTTGCAGGTTTAGTCAGTCTCACTGGTTTGTTGTGCTGTTGTTGCTATAATTGTGTGTATTTTTGCAGAAACTGTCAACTAATTAGCCAACTTCTTGCTACTTTGGTGTTAAACTGACACAGAATTTTACATTTTTTCAAACCAAGGTGTCACCTTAGAATTGCAGCAAAGTGTTTCCCTCAAAAATTGCATGTTGGGACTTGTGCGCTACACATCAAGTTGAACTTGTAGGGCTGTTTTGCTGCAGGCTCAGATGGTTGGAGAGACACCTGCAGCTTCTTTTGTGGGGTTAGATCTGCTCTGTGTCAATGGCTCTGACACCAGAATAGAGTCATGTTACCGAACCGCCGTACAGTAAGGAAACAGACCTGAGTCCTGCGCTAATATAAGCTGACAGTCTGGGTGTCCGGAGAGAGAGCAAGGGGGCACCTGTGGTTGTGCGTTTGTGCATGCTTCTGTTGCGCATGTGAGTGAGTGTGTGTTTGTATGGCTGGCGGCCCTGTCGAATGAATGGCCTTCTGATGAGCTGTAGCGTCACTGTTTGAGTGTATTCATGTGGAGAAACTTTAAAAAGTTTCAGTCTGCGCACAAAAGCCGGCTGTCCCTCTCACTTTTTGCGGCACAATGACTGAGGAGCGCGAGAGAGAGAGAGAGAGAGAGAGAGAGAGAGAGCAGAACTTGATGAGTAAGCAAACACCTGCAAGCTCAAACTCTGTGCCAGATTTTAGAGATGAAATGTGTGGGTAAATTAAATAAAGCTGACCAATCAGGAGGAAGAAATGCGCTCACAAGGCTCTCTCTGTGCGGCACATGTGAAACCAACTTGGGTTTAATGCACAAACATGTTTTCAGGCTTGCTTCATGTGAGTGACTTGCGTATAAGTAGGGCATTCTGGGGTCAGCAATTTGGTTGCTGACTGACTGAGAGGGTTTAGCTTAATGTCTTGTGACCGGAGCGACCATGAGGCTTTTGATGTATAAACAGTGTCAGCCGACGCTACCTTTAATGCATTTACCGCTTGTTTTTTTGTGCGGTCACACAGGTCTGCAGACGCTTCGGCCCGGCGCTTGTACAGTTTACAGAGTTTTGAAGTGGCTGAGCAGAGCGAACCTCACACTTCACGCCGACATGCACGCACAGACATGCACAGCAATTACACGGTTTCCTTCGGTTTTAGACACACATGCACAGACACGAGTGTGACGGGATCCTGCGAAAGGAGTTCAGAGTCCACTGCGGCCGATTTCCCAAAATGCCTCGATGTTATCAGGATGCTCGCAGAGGCAGCTGGACTGACCCCTAAACTGGTTTTCACAGCAGACGAGGAAGTAGGAGGGTGGTCTGTTCTTCTGTCATTCTCTGCTTTTTTTATTCTAATCTCTAATGGCTGCAGTAATTAAGCAGTTAAGTCATAAACACTCAAATTCTTTCAGCATGTTTCCTGAACGAGGGGCAGTAAGGATTTTAATTCCAGGATTTGGCCCGAGGCTACGGAGGGTGACTGGGCCACTGACCCATTCTCAGGCCTTATTAGGACAATTATTTGTTTATTTTTGAGAGGAACCTCCTTCCACAAGTGCATTTCGTGCTTGTAATTAGAACCTGGTTTCCCAAAGTGCTGCCAGATAAAGCTGCAAGTCCAAGTAGATAATCAGAATATCAGTGATTTGACTTTATTCCTCTGATTCTGCTGGTTGTTGACATAAAAGATCAGCTTCTAGTGTATTCTAGCAGCATTTTTTTTTTGTTTGTTTAAAAAAGATAACGTTTTATCCCCTAAAATGAAGTCTTGACTCCACCTTGTGGCCACAAAAATACAAGTTTCAATTCTTTATTTTAAAACAGCAGAAAATTTGAGCATTCAGTTTGAATTTTGAGGTTTTTTTTCAATTGACTTTATGACACAACAGGGTCCAAGTCACTGTCGTGTCACTTCTAAAGCCAACACGTTGAAGATTGACCGCTTTCCTTCACCCCTGGCAACCTAACTGGAGCGTGTCAGTCCCGGTCACCGGGTCCAGTCCTGACAGCGACCAGCTGACCCGGCGTCCAGGACCCTCTCCATGCCCCGTCTTTCTTCCTCTGTTCCTTCCTGACCCGAAATCCAAAGCTGACCCCGTTCTCGGACAGCACAGACCGTCCTGCTGCTCTATATCAAAGCCTCGCTCATCCCAAACCTGCAGTGCCAGCCCTCTTATTCTGTCCGCCTGCTCCACAGTCACAGCAGGTCCCCCTCTCATTCAGCTGCCTCCAATAGGAAGCCAGCTATTAGCAACCTGACCCACTTTTCCGATTGCTAACTACTAGCACGGCTAATTGGGCCCTAATCACTTCCTAATGGCAGCATTGTTTCAGGCTGCTCTCGCTAAATGCTAAATAGGGGGAGAAAGGAGAGGCAGCGAGCGAGTGCCTATTTCCAATTAGGCCATGAAAGGCGCTATAAAAATGAAATAAAGTGGAGAGCCAGAAGAGAAAGGAGTAAACAAGCAGGCCGAGTGTTTAATATTCTGCATAAATGCTGACTTAATGAGACTGTATGAATACCTTATAAATACATAGAATGATGTAGCCGCTGCAAATTAAAGGAAACTTGATTTATAAAAGGTTTTATTGTCATTATTGTTATTATGTTCTGTAAAGTCAGTGTAACAGAAGTTCAGAGATTTGTTTCCAAATCAGTCGTACATGTCAGTCACTGTCACCAGCAGACACACAACCAGCATTTCAGAGAATATTGCTTATTTTTTTTCACAATTTTAATGCAGAATTTTATTTCCTTGCCATTTTTTTAATCATTTCGATTTAGCTGACTGTTAAATAATGTTTCTTTGGAGTGCATATCTTTGTCCGCTTTAAACAGACTTGAATTTATTCTTTTTTTCAACTCACATCGCCCAAATCAAGATTTTTCCAGAATCAAATATTGTTTGTTTTTTATCCTAATATACCAACCTGACTATTTTTTTGTTCCTTCAAGACACGAACAAGGTTCATACATGAAATACCAGGATGTTAAATACACATGATGTTATATGTAAACAGACCAACAATAATAATGAAATATATGTGTTTGAAATGTGTTTTTCACTGTCTAATGAACACAGAACAAAACAAAAATGTAAAATAATGTATATTAAGGAGCTCATTTGGTCTACAGATGTTACGCCACACCTTGCATCAGTCTTATCGAGTCGTGACGACTTCTAATGAAATTATATTCTGCAAACAAAATATGTTGAGTCACAAGGATTTCTAGACAACCAATGGTATTTTAAATTACTGAGTATTAAATAATTAGTTGCATAAACATGTTTTGAAATCCTGAACTCAAAGTGGAGAAAAATTAAGTTATCGAGGCAAATTAATTAAATTTCCACAACTTGAGTCTTGTTTTAAATCAATTAATGCAAGTTTAAATTACACACCATATTAAGATGGCGCAATTAGCAATAATATTATCACAACACAACTCATCAAAACAACAATGTTTGCAACTTAAAAAGTTTATCTGACTCAGTAAATTAGGATTTGTGTCTTGCATTTAATCAGGTGGTGCTAAGAGTTCCAGTGAATTACTTTTTAGAGTATATAACGTGACTGTGGATGGAGAAGGTACAACCACCAGCAGCAATAACTTGGAATAAATATGTCTGTTGTGTGTCTGTGTTTGTGTGTGTGTGTGTGTGTGTGTGTGTGTGTGTGTGTGTGTGTGTGTGTGTGTGTGTGTGCACTGAGACCAGGGAGTAGACTCCAACTGAAGTGTTATGATTCATTCTAGCCGGTGCTCCCTGCTCAGGCCCTCTCGCTTTCTGGCCGTTGGTGTTTGAATATTCAAATGTTACTGGTCTGAGCTCTGTGCTGCTGGTAAGCGCTGCTCCACAAACACACTGACAACCTCAGCAGCCCTCAGGACGCTCTGTTTTCATCAGGGCAGCAGCCACTCAGACCAACAACTTCTCTTGCTCTTTCAGCTCTTGGTAAGTTTCCTTGCTGCTGCAATTTTTTTTTCTGGCAATTTGAAAAAAAAAAAGTGCTTTTTGCTTCTGTTCATTTCCAAGTGAAACTCTATTTTTATCCTGGTTCTGGATCTGGTTTACGGTGCAACTCAGTGCGTGTAACCAGATGTAACCGGACAGTGTTTCTTTGTGCAGCAGAGGGACTCTGACCAAAAGCAGTCCATATAAGTCCAAGCCTTATAAGTGCACCAGTGCTGCTGCTTGACTTGACCTGCTTGGCAAGACTTTAAAGCACTTGAGCCTGCTGCTCATTGTTTTTATAAACAGTTTGCGAAGGGCTCTTCTCATTGTTAGTGCTAAGGGGTTTTTAACAGTTTTGGTGGCTAGCCTGGAGGAAAGTAAAGGCACGTTTGGCTGTATCTACACAGGCCACCTCCAGGCCCTTATAAGGCCAGTTTGTGTGGGGTCACAGAAGACCTCAGCGTTTGTTTTTGTCTTGTCCTCCCTCCGCTTCCTCATCTGTCCTTTCCCACTTCATTGTTTAATAAATTGTCTCTTTCTGTGCTGCAGATTCCTCAGAGGGCATGACCTCACAGCCTTCGGTGATGACTGAGCATGCTCCGTCATCTGCAGTGACCGTCAGCTCCTCCACCAGCATCCCTGCCACTACCTCCACCCTGATTCCTCCCTCCTCCTCCTCCTCATCCTCCACAGCCATTCCTCAGCCCAACAGCAACAGCAAACCCTGGAGGAGCAAGTCGACAAGCTCCAAACACACCTCCTCTCCCACCTCCCCATCCGCCATGCAGGCCGTCAAGCAGGAGAAGGACACCTCCTGCAAGACTGCTGCCCCGGCTGAAGCCCCTCCAAAGGCTGTCGCTCAGAAATCAATGCTGGAGAAGCTTAAGCTCTTCAACAGTAAAGGAGGCTCCAAATCGTCCACCACCTCCTCCAACGGAGTATCAGCCCAGACGGATAATGCAGCCCCGGGCAGGCAGCTTGGAGCCGGGCAGGTGGAGAGAGCTGAGACCGGCTCCAACACCGACCCCCTGGAGGAGGATGATGGCAACGTCCGGCCGGGACTGAACGGGACCAGCAACGGGACGGCCTACGGAGCAGCTCCCTCAGCAGGTACTACTGTCTCTACAACCGCCAGCAGCCCGAAAATCGCTCTGAGGGGCATCGCCCAGCGCACTTTTAGCAGAGCTTTGACTGCCAAGAAGGGTTCTGTCAAAGGCCTTGAGAAGGACAAGGAGAGAGGGAAGGAGAAGGAGAAAGATAAGGACAAAGGGAAGGAGGTGGGGAAACGCACCTCAGTCTCTGACAGGGCAGAGCTCAGGGGAGAGGAGCCCAAGGACGAGGCAGCGTCCGTCGCTGTAGACGCTGATGCCTCCAACAAAAGGACCTCTAAAATTGCCAGTTTCATACCCAAAGGGGGTAAAGTGGCCAAAAAGGAGAGCTCCACCCCTGCACACAGCGGAATACCAAAGCCGGGAGGTAAAGCCCCAGGAGTCGGGGGCAAAGCCTCCTCAGTGAAGGAGGCGGGGGAGAGGCCTCGGAGCATGAGGTTAGGAGGGGGCCTGGCCATGCACCGCGGCCCGCTGGACAGGGACAGGGACAGCAGACACTCCAGCTCTACCTCCAGCCTGGCCTCCACGGAGGGGAAGAGCAGCGCCGCCCCGGTGGCCGGAGGAGGCACCACACAGAGCACCGCCAGCAACACCGTCAGCGTGCAGCTACCTCAGACGCAACAGCACCACAGCCACCCCAACACGGCCACCGTCGCACCTTTCATGTACAGGTACCATCGCACAACGCATTTAAAATGTAAAAAGAAACAAAAATACACAGATGAATGCAACGTCAAGTAAAATGCACCACAAAATGGCGTGAAGCTCATTTAAAGATCAACGTGTAGCGCTCCTTCCAAGACAGAGGTCTGAATCCACACCAGGGGGCTTATAAGGAAAGTTCAGCTTCATTCAGACCTGCACAGTGTTCAGCCTGCAACAGTACATTCAGTCATGACATTTCAGTGCCAGACCTTCAGCAGAAAAATGGTTCTGCTGAATGACATTTTTTGAAAACTACAACAACAGCAAGTTGGATCACAGCCTATATAGTAACAAGCATAAATGTCAAACGAGGACAGTATTATGCTGGGAATGCTTAAAACCCCTAAGGGCAAAACCACATTCCCAAAGAACATGAGCACCTCCAGAAGCTTGTGGCCGTATGTAGATGAACATTTCCAAGGCGTGTGAAAAAAAGAGTGTAGATGAATAAATAGAATCCTTTTTAACAAATACAACAAATATTTTATGAATGTTGCGGGACCCATCAGCATACAGTGACCCTGCAGTACAGTGTAGTAGTTTGGTCCCTTAGAGCTTTAAAGCCTTCACATTACAGTTGTTTACTCATCCATACAGCGTGTTTTCTAGCTTTCTGTATATTATTGAGAAAGAGAGTTGTAGAGTTATTCGCTCTCTCTATTTAAGATAGCTTCTCTTTGCCTCATGAGGATGCAGCATTGCGAATAAGTTTATTTTTGCACCTTAGACAGTTGGCAGTGCTCTGTTTTAAACTTTGCGATACGTTTGTCGCTCTCCTGCTCGCCTGTCTCATGAAATAGATGTGGGAAGAATAATCAGGCTCCATAAAACTGTGGTATATCTCAAGACAGAATATTAAGTTAAAATAAATTAAATAAATATTTAAAGTCGGGTCCAGGGTGTCCCCTGCCTTCACCCTAAGTCGGCTGGGATACGCTCCAGCCCCCCCGCGACCCTAGTGAGGATTAAGCGGTGTATAGATAATGGATGGATGGATTTAAAGTCTGTCTTTATAAATAAATGAAACGCATGCACACAGCACTTTTGCATTAGAACATTGTGGGAGTTACTTATGCTGTGTTTGTTCAATAGTACACTTGAAAACAGCTCTGGGTGAAGCTTTTAAGTGAATGCAACTCGATGTATAGCTATACTTCAAGTCAACGATTATAAGAACTTGTGTTAAGTCATCACATCTCTGATTCTCTGACAGTGTCTTAAAGCCCAGTATCTGAATTGGTTCTGGAGCGTTTGACCATCTGTAAGCTGTTAAGCAGCGGCGTTACACGAGTTCCTACGTTCTTGCGTTTTGCCTTCCTGCGAGTGCACATGAATCCGGGCAAGTATGTGTGGATGCAGTGTGCCTCTGACCTCTGTCCTGGTCCCAGTGTGATAAGGAAGGAGGTCCCTCACACTCTCAATAAGTCCTTTCTAACAACCGCTCATTAGCTTCCTGTGCCGCTGCCCTTTCTGTACATTCTGACCTGCAGCTGAGCAGCCCACCTCCGCAAAACACCCCCATTATCAGTGGTCTGAAACGCCCCCTTCTGCTGTATGGCTGTCACATACTGTTAGCAGCAGGATTAAACCACCTCCACCTGTCACAAACAGTATGCTTGACAGAAAGTTTGTGCAATCAATGCTCAAAATCTGCTTTTTTTTACCGCACTGCTGAACGCCAATGAACTATGAGGAGAACACACCGAGCCTGAAGAATTAGTGCATGGAAACAACCTCAGGTTTCAACCAGTATTAAGTTGGTTACCCAGAAGCCAAAGAAAAGTTCAGATGATGTAATTTTGTGTGTGTGAAAGGCGCTCTGTGGTTTCGGCTGGCTCAAACTCAAAGCGAGTGTTCAGTAGTCAACAAGGACAAAGTCTGGAATCAGCCAAAGACCAAAGGCTGCACATAACCGAGGCTTTCCAGCGTCACCATCTCAAAAAGCTTCCAGCCAATGCAGTGACTCAACTGTATTGATTTATCCTTCAAAGACAAACTTTAGTGGCGTGCGGGGCTTAGCAGGCATTCATGTTGGACCCCGGTCACAAGACTTGAAACGCAGCAGATTTAAATCTTTAATCAGGTTTATCCCTCTTTCGTGACAATTTGCCGAATATTAGGTTCCCACTAAGTGCACAATGATTCAGAATCGATGATTTCCACACTTTGATCCTTCGCACAATTTGCTCTCCGCAGATCCCAAACAGACGGCGAGGGAACGGTGAACGCTGAGACGGGTTCGGGAGGAAGAGGTGGAGACGTTTCCTTCACCAAGACCAGCCAGACCTCCATCGAGGACCTCTCAGGTGGGTGCAGAGGCTGTCCCTGTTCAGAAGAGATGAAATACGTCTGAACATGCTGGTGAATGTTTCTGAGATTGTTTTTATTGTCTCACTCAGGTGAAGACCCGGAGACGAGGCGGTTGCGTACTGTCAAAAACATAGCAGACCTGCGGCAAAACCTGGAGGAGACCATGTCCAGCCTGCGAGGAACTCAGGTCACACACAGGTAACACGACACACATTCAAATGTAATTGAAGCTTCTTTTACCTTGAAACTCCCACATATTTGCGTAGTATAGTTTTATTTTATCCCTGTTTACTGCAAACTTTTAAAAATCTCATCTTATCTCAGGTAAACAACATGTCCTGTAGTGTTCAAGTAACAAAATAGAAGTGATTTCTCTCAAGCGTTTTCAGTTTAGCGTGTCAAATCAGCAATGCGTATAAAGAAGTTTATAAATCTTGTTGCATTAGAAAACAAAACCCCTCTGTTTGGGGATCATCATGTGTAGCGCCGTACAATGGCTGCTGCGGTTCGGTGGTAAACAGAGCGAACCAGGCTCTCTGCTGAGGATTTGAGTCAGTGGCTGAGCTGCCTCGTGGTCAGCAGACTGTGTCTGTCTACGTTTACAGGTAATACCTCTTCTTTGTGGCTTTTTTTTTTTTGGTCGTCTCTTCCCTCCTTTGATGGATTGTTAACTTTGATCGCGGCGCTTGTCTTTCATGTCCTCTGGTTCGGCTCTAATCACGTTCCCTCCCACTGAATTTTGACCTGTTCTTTGGTCTTCACCAGCCTGACGGGATCTTGTTTCAGCTCTGTTGTAAGGTTATGTCCAGTTTTTTTTTTGTTTTAAGCCAGAATAAAGGATCTCTTATTTTTACTCTTTATCATTGTCCACCAACAAGACAATGCAGTTGAACTATTAGACTGATTTCCAGTTCTATTCTCTGGACTGTATCGCAAAATTATTTTAAAAGATATCTGTGAACTTGTTGGACAGAAAAAAATCTACTTTAGTGGTGATCCAAGAGGTGTCATTTCCAGCGTTAGACAACAT